CATAGCCACTACAAACAAGGTACAAGCAAATACAGATAAGTGGAGTCAAGAATTTTAGGTTTATCATATTAGGCTGGAAATAGTTTAACACAGGTTTATATCTACTGGATAGTAAAAACCCGGTTTGATATTTGACCGGGGCCGGGTTTGGTCATCATCTGGCTTTAGCTTTTCTCTTTTATGCTGTTTCTCTAATATAAACAATCTAGAGCATTTTTTTTTCTTTAACTAAACCTTATTCATACAGTATGTAGGCACTCTTCAAGTTTTTTTACTTCTACCACTAACATTTTCTCCTAAGGCTTCTACCTCTCTACATGCTGATACCTAATCCCTTTAATCTTCTCTAATAAACATTTTCCGATAAGACACTTTTTTTCTAATCTGTCTAAGACTATGCCTCCTTTTCTTAATGTGTTAGAATCACACCACACATTCATCTGATCATCTTTTATTCTGGCAAAGATTACGCCATATAAATACTAAAGTTTGTATAAATATGAAAGAATATTGTTTGCCAGAATCTAAATAAGGGGTCATTGATAAAGTACATACGTTTTTTTTTCGCTAACTGACTTCTCCATTTATCCTACGGTTAGACTTCACTCTGTTATTATTTTCTTTATATAAAGCTTTTGAGATTAATAAATTATTTATTTCTAATTGCAGAATTAAAGTTAATTCTTGAAGGCCTACACTCCACTTTATTTCAATTAACTTTAAGGGTACCACAAAGTTCTTTGCTCCTGTAATGTTTCTTTCTAAAATAACAATTTTCATGAAAATTTTACATCTAAAGTACCTCTATTAGCTAAAGACTCAACTTTATACTCTTGTCTTGACAAAAAAACTGGATTTTTAATCTGATCTCTCTTCTGTAACAGGCTTGCAGTGGTTTGCAGGCAACAAAACTCATTTATTTACTGCAAAAAAATATTGTCAAAATAGAAATGCCAACAATAGCATTCCTATATTGACAAATAACAACCCTCTTACTCTCAGACAAAGTCTAAAAGTAAATTGTAAATTTAATTAGACCTGTTTTATCTACCAAGCTTGAACCACTTTCTTTTTTTTTTCCTACAAATACTATCATGGTCAATGTTCAAAAAAGACATCATAGACAATAGTAATTGTAAATATAAAATTACAATACAAAAAGTATTATAAATTTTTTTTTAGTCCCGGCTATCAACCTCTGCTAAATCTTATAATTTTGCAAAAATTTAAGGTTTAGCAGAGGTTTGCTAAAATTTAAGATATAGCAGAAAGTTTTGGTTTTCAAAAAGTCTTATTTTCAGCCTGGGCCGGGGCTTGGGGCCTTGTCACTTACTAATACTGGAATATATTTCTGGAGTAAAAAACTGCAACATTACATTGAAAACAATTATTTAAATAAGTTGCTTGTACAAACTACTGGAACAAAATACTGAAACAATTATTTCTTTTAGTTTTTTTTTTGTTACACTATAAATTTTTGACAAAACTAAATTTAGGCTAAGTTTTTGTGAATGATTTAGTTACCGCTTGGTAATGACTAAATGACTAATTAGTAATTACTCAATGACCACCTGTTAATGACTTAATTGCAACATGATAGTGGCTAACTACTAATCATTTCCACTGTTAATGATAACCTAAGAAACACCATTAACAACATATAAATCTATGCAAAAAATACTATAAAAATTTCTTATAAAAATGTTCACCTAATGAAGGTAAAACAAACTACCCTCTTTATATCATTACACTATCTTACAATTAGTTGTTTTGCTTGAAAGTATATTATATTTCACATTGAATAGTAAAGTTTGGGCAATGCCTTTTAACACCATCTTAGATAACTCTTTTGTTGTTGTTGTTGTTCTTACAACCCTCTCTCATACCTATAACTCGGATACACAAATAAAATAAAGGTTGACTGCAGTTATATTAAAAATGTGTAAGTTGAATTTGGAATTCCTCTCTTACCAAGCAAGAACATACTACTTTTATAAATCAAGTAAAAAACCTAATAAAATAAATTTAGTAAAATTTAATTTAATAAAATAGCAGAATAAAAATTTAAAAAAAAAATTTTTCAGTTTATATTTAATAATTATCAATATATTGGTTTTATTGTATATGCCAATATTTGATATTCAAGTAACTTTCAAGTATAGTGCAAACTTAAGATTTTTGCATATTAAATTGAATTTAATGAGTTTCGAAGACATCTTCATTCTACAAATTTTTATATTTTTCACATTTGTTTTCACTTAAATTTGTATTACTTTAGGCAAATTTATTAATAGGTTTATTAAATTTCACCAAAAAATATTATGTTACATAGAAGTTAAGTTATCGTTGTTGAGAGGGTTGTAAATTTCATTGTGTAAAATGTAAAATCTTATTTTAGTGTAGTTGTAAACTTTATTCTGTATAATTTTTGTATGCAGATGACTTAATAAATTTTTTAATCTAAACATAAATTTGTTTTGGAAAATTTCCAATCCTTAGACACATTTGCAAAATAAATAAAAAAAAGGAGAAAACTGTCCTCATCTTTAACCTTGAGGAGTGAATTTGATTTAATGATTTTTTATTTTTGCTTATAAACTCTAAACAGCCCATATTTGATCATGAACAAATAGTCTTAATAAATTCTATTTATCTTTTTAAGTTTATTTATTAAGATATATTTTTTAAATAGATTGTACTCTAAATAAATATATACTATAAATTTATGTTAAATTATTTTTATTAAAGAGTATAGCTTTATAACTAATTTTTTTTAAGTTTTATTTTTTCGTTCATAACTTTTTTTAGCTGATGTCTTAAAATTTAGATTAAAAAAAGAAATGATTTTACGAGTTAATACTGTAGCGTCGGAGTTTCGTGAAGTATCTAACAAACAAATAGCTGACACAACCAAACGAACTATTCATGAAAATGTAGTCATAAACTCTCAGCTTATTAAAATGTCTGATCAAGCTGTCGAACTTGTTTCAGAAAATGATGACATGAAGCTAAAACTAAAAAAGTTAAAAGAACAACTTAATATATTTGAAAGCACAGAGAAGGAGTTAGTTAAAAAAAATGTTTCAAACTTAAAGGTTGTTCAGTTTATCTTTTTTCTACAAATGTTTAATATCTAGGGATATGCAGGGGGTTTGGTAGAGGTCTAGTACTATTACTCATCTGACTTAAATAAATAATAATATTTAAACGAAAAACTTCATTTAAAGTTTAAACAATGTTTGTTAAAAAGAGAAATCTGATGGTTTCAAGATTTCTAAACTCAACACTTGTATATGTTTATATTTATCATGTATTTTTAGAATTGAGTTTTGAACAATTAAATTTCAATACATTTATTTTAATCTTAAAAATAATTTTTCATTCTTAGGTTATTCGTATGCTGACTGAGAAAATTAAAGAACAAGAGGTGTTATTACAACAGTTTGAAATTACTGATAAGGAACATAATTTACTCAAGACTCAATTCAAAGAGTTAAATGAGCAGCTAGATGCTCAAAAGAACCAATTTATTTTATTAGACAAAAATAATAAAAATTTGCAGGGGAAACATGAAGCTTTATTATCAGACAATAAAATACTAGCTGAAGATAAAGATTACCTTTTTGGAGTAGTGAGTGATGCTTGCAAAGTTATCAAGCAGGCACTTCAGGTTAGTAAGCTAATATCTCAAATATGTGTGTGCTTTATTTAAATTTAAATGAAGCAAGTTAAGTTAAAAAATAGTTTCTATAGTTAACTTAGTTTTTTGTAAAAATATTTAATAAACCACAATTTTTATTGATTTATAATGGAATGTGTCATTGAAAATGATCTGAATATGTAAACAATGTAAAAACCTGCTAATATAAGCATTGACAATTTTTTTTCTCCATCGTATTTTGTTAATTGCTAATTTATTTTTAAAAATATGTTTTTTTTTAATTACATTATAATTTTAAATAAATAAAAATGTTTAAAACATAAAAAACGTTACTAAATACAAAAGTGAGTTGGGTATAAATTTTATCATAAAATATTTCTAGAAGTTGCATTTTTAGGAAAATAATTTCACTATATAATATTGATGTAAAGCTAAAGAAAATGTTTAATTTTTTTTTTAATGTACTAGTGTACAATCTATCATAAGTCTAAAAATAATTTTTAATTAAAAAAAACTTGTATAAAACTTTTTTCGAAAGTATAATTTACACCTGTTTCTATTTTAGAGAGTGTTACCTGATATTTCTTAAATTCTTCAGCTTTCATATTTTTACAATAAAAGTTAATACATGCACTCAAAATATATTTTAAAATTAGTAATAAATTTTTTTTAATGATTTGATAAAACAAGTGGTTACTAAAAATCCAGATTGACCTTTAAGAACAATTTTTTTTTTTAATCTGGAGATTAAATAAAAATATCAATAGAGTTTTTACAACATCAAGAAATACATATCTCTCAATACAAATAATTTTGTTATAGAAATTTTCGCTAAGTTATGAATACCAACATCATCAGCTTGTAAAATATTACAATAATTTCTATAACAAAATTATTTATTTGCTGAATGCCAACCCTAATTCCGAGAGCTGTATATATATATATATATATATATATATATATATATATATATATATATATATATATATATATATATATATATATATATATATATATATATATATTCATTTTTAGTGTGATACAAAAGAAGATACAGTAGATGAGCAATTGAGAAATAATGTATTGTTTAAGTTAGTTGAAATTCTAAATTTAGCTACAAAAATGGGAATTGGTTTTCATTTGACAGATCTTCCAAACAGCAGAAAATCTGTAAATAGAAAACAGTTGCTTACATCACGTCCAATGAGAAGGTTTTTTCTTTATTTTTTTGTTATTTGATTTTTTATTTTCTATTGTAAGTATTTTCCATTGATACCATACAACTCTTATGTTTTTATTTAATTTCACATTGTAGCAAGTAAGAATGATGAGATATTTCTACATAGGGAAATTTTTGTGTATGTGTGAGTAGAAAACAGTAAAGATTTGAAAACAGTAAAGTTTTGAAGATAACATTTTAATACAGGGAAATATAATGGTTTAGGGATAGATTTTGTACTGAAAAAATGATTACAAAGATAATATTTTAAGACAAGGTTTAATGATTGAATTTGGGATGTTTAAAAACGAAGCAATTATAATATAAATTATTTGAGATAATTCTGCTTTAGATCTACATCTGAAGAAATTTCGTTAAGCTCCATGCAACCAATTCCACATTACAGACCTGGCGACCTTGGCTTTATTCCTCCATTAGATAAGTCAATTTTAAATGGTAGCAAAAGTGAACATTTTTATTTTGATAAGGTATTTTTTTTTTTTTCATTTTTTCTTTAGTATTATATTTTTGGAATTTTGTACTATTTTAACATTAAGGTTTTCCTCACATTATTGATTGGGCAATATTTGCTTCATTGAACTTTTCATATATATCTTTATTATTACCCCATATAAAATTGTTTAATTTTTTAAATTAGATATATTATTATGTCTTGCCATAAAGGGATGAAGAGGAAGATATGATCTAAACAGAAAGTTATAATTATTCTAAAATCTCAACCCCTCTTCCATTAGTTTGGAAATTGTGTATAGAAATTAGAATAAACATTTCTTCCCTCTCTCCTTCTCCCCCTTGCACAAACTAGATGTTAATAGTAAATTATGAAAAAAAAAATTTTTTTTTTTTTCATAATTTACTGCATGTAGAAAACAGTCAATGTTTCCAGTTCAAAATATTTCATTTTTTGTTAACTCTCAAATAATCTTGAAAAAATGTTTCAAAATAAATTCGGAAAGATCTCTTGATTGGTTAATTTTAAAAATGCAACAGTGTAACAAAATATTTATTTTTTAGCTACCATATAATGGTTTTTTTTGTGTGATATTACACAAATTACTATTACAACATAGAACAAAGAAATTTACATAGTATTGTTAATAAAATATTAAAAATTTTAAAAAGAATTTTGAAATTCACCCTAGATTTTTCAGGAACAAAAGGCATCAAAGTTAAATTAATGAGACATTATAATGGGTAAAGAAATAACCCAAGATGGAATTAAAAACTGAAGTTTTTATTTGTTCTTTCTATTGGTTTTTTGTATATGGCTTTTTGCATTCAAAGCTGTTTTAAAAGCAAACTGTGTTCATATAGTCTGTTCTACTTCTAGTTTTTTTTTTGTTTTTTTTTGTTAAAACAATTGAATGAATTTCTAAATATGTTTTCACTTCTTCCAAATATTTTTTATCTCTTCTGAACAATGCTTCCATTTCCCATTGTTCTAACAACAATTAGTAAATCACACAAAATAATTTTTGATAATATAATCTTTTTATAACATTTCAAGTTATCCAGGTTTTGTTGGCCTAATTTTTTTTTATTGACAGTATCCAATAAAGATTATCATATTGTTTTGTTTTATTTAAGATTTTTTATTTTACTTAAAGTACAAATGCCCCAGAGCAGAAATTATTTAAAAGTTCTTACTAGTAACAGTTACCAGTTAAGAATTATTCCCAAGCCTTCCCGGGAAGCGCGTGCGCTCGCATGCCAAGTTCGTCCACGTTTAAAGTAATTTTTTTGGCAACTTGACCACGTTTTTATGTAGTAAGCGTTTTAAGAAATAGCGGCAAAAAAAGCTATAAGAAACTACAGAGAATAAAATAGCAATACTCGATTAAAGTAAACAAATACCATGAGAAATAAAAAATCTAAATAAAATAAACCAAAAAAAAATTTAAAATTGAAATTAAAAAAATTTTGTCAAAAAAATAATACACCTAAATAGTTTACTGTTTCATTTTTCTTTTTTTAGGGCGTTTGTTATTTTTCACTACCAAAATTGATACTAGTAGAGGAAAAAAAGCAGATAAGAATATAACGAAAACAAAAACATTTTTTGATGTTAAATTTTTTCGTGACTTTTGTCAGTCAGTTTATTAAGGAAACATTTGCACTAGAAAGACAACTTATTTGCACTAGAAAGACAACTTTGAAATTTGAAAGTGAGATAACTTTGAATGTGAGAAAACTAATTGTTTTTTATTTGTAAAAAACAAATTTTTTAAGTTTATTATGTAAAAAATAAAGTCAACTAATATTTAAATATAAAATATTTGGTTGTTTTCACTACCCCCATTGTAATAGTCTGCTCTTTCTTTGGATTCTCCAAATTGTGCATTTTGTGCAATTTTTGCAACCCGATAGTTTATTTCCTGATGAACTATTGTTATTGACGATACTCCAAAAGCTTGTGGGTTAGTGCTTTGTAATTTGCTAAACTTTTTAAACAAAATTTTAGTAGCCTATTTAACACTTTTTTTTAAGTTTTTACCACTTTTTTTTAAGTTTTTAACAGAGCAAATGTTATGTTCATTATCTCTAGTATTTCGTATAAACATTTGAAATTGGGCATTATAAAGGAAACAATTTCAGAGAGACATCAAATATGGTAAATAGATTTATAAAAGAAACCATGCTATGCTTTTATTTAATTTTTACCGTCATAGAAACAAGGTCGGCAACTTTTTGCCGACCTCAAACACAATTAGGTCAGCAGTTACTAACTGCCGATCTAACTTAGGTCGCCATTGCAAAATGTCGACCCTAATTCCAAGGGCTGTCTGTTTACATTTTCTTAGATAAAGTTTTTTGGATTAAAAGATATTTCTTAAAGTTGGCACTTAAAATAGTATAAAGGCCGTTTTCCACAAGACGAAATATTCGCGCGAAGCGAATTTTTTCGCGATGAAGAAACGCTGTTTTGATTTCCACTTACTTTCTTTCGTGCTACTTTTTTTTCGTTATCAACAATAAAAATGGCTGCGATAAGTTTACGCTGTATGTTTAACTAAAAGCAGTTATTACTTTTTTAGCATACTTTCTACTTTGAAGCATGTGAAAATTTCTTTCCATGCATTAATATTAACATTTCTGCCTTTATATGTAAGATGTAATATTATTTTGTAATATAATCATTTAATATGGTTTTTTTACAAAAAACATAAGAAAATAAATGATAAACTCTGATATGAACATTTCGATTAAAAAACTGTTACTGCAAGAACGAACAGCAGGTTTAACTCTATGTAGAATTTTTCACAAAAAGGTTTATCATCGTGTGGCCACTTAAAGATTAACATTCTTATGAAATGTAACTTTCGTAATTGACAGTGTGAAAATTTATATTTGTAAATTCTCGATTTAGTTTTATATATAAATCTGGTTTTTTATATTTTTTTATGTAAGTCTTGCCCCTTGTTTAATGAATTTACTCATGCTTGCCAATTTTTAGAATAAGTTCATATAAAATTAATAAGAACCGACTTTTTTTTTCGCTGCAGCGAAACGTTGTATAATCGCCAAAAATGTTTAATCTGCGCATTCTTAACGACGAAAAAATTCGCTTCGCGCGAATTTTTCGTCTTGTGGAAAACGGCCTTAATCAAGTTGATAAGTTTTTTTCAATAAAGAGTCTTGTGTTTTTTGAATCATTCAAGGATACTAATAATTTTTTTAAGAAATAAATATGACATTTGCTTGCAAAATAAATAAACTCTTTTTATATGCAAGTAGTTTACCATAAATGGTAGTTTGCGAACCACAATATCTTCATATGAACCCATAACTCTAAACACTTAATATGCTAAAACCAACTTCATCCTAAAGTATAGCTACAACATTATAAGAATGAAATATACTCCTTCAATTTTAGTCATTTCGTCACTTTATAAAAAAGCTATTCAATATTTACTGTTAATTATTAATTAACATTTTATATAGAAAGATTAGATTTACTGCTATTTCAACAAACATCGCCTCAGTCCTCCATCATCAGTTGTTTCTCTCCTTTAAATATACGATCCCGATCGTTAAAAAAAGTTCTTGTAATTCCTTCTCAAGAAACTGGTGCATTTAACAATCTTTCCATGTCCATTATAATTTCAAAATCCAAAGGTTCTAGATATTTTTCCAGTTTAAGAAACTTATTTTTAGAAATATCTTTACGTTTATAAATAACTACATTTATATTAAACATTTACACTAAAGAGTTAAAATTGTAAACATGACCCCTTATTTTATTTCCTTTTTTAAATCTTATTTTGGTTAAACCAACACTTTTTTAAATTTAAATAGTTCAAACAATGTTTTAAACCTATCAACTCTGATGCAAAGTTTTAATTTTTTTTGACAGTCAATATTCACATGTTATATGTGAATATTGACTACCAAAAAAAATTGAAATTTATAAAAATGTCTTCTGTCTATTTGAAATTTAGATTTCAATTTAGACTCGTAAAAAATTACGAAGAGTTCAAAATAACTATTTTTATTTTAAAAATTGGGTATCTACCCTTCTTCTCCTTGGTCATAAAATAAACACATTTTTCTAATTTGAAGTTATTTATATATACTATTATCTTATATAGAAAATACTTAACGAAACGCAAACGCTGAACAAGTTAGTTAACGGAGCATTCAAGTTACCGACTATTAAATCGATTTGAAGAAATGTTTAATCGGTATTTTTTTATATAAAGTGTAAATTATTGTAATAAAATAAAATAAATGTATAAAAAATTAAAATTATGTAATCTAAAGTTTTGTTTTCACAGTGACAAAGTTTATGGTAAAAATAAAATCAACAATTTTTGTGATTCAAGGTTGTTTTTGTATTTTTGTGTGAATTTTTTTTTTTTATATTGTATTGATTTATTGACTAAGATTTGTTAATAAATAAAGCTTTATTGTTATATATATATATATATATATATATATATATATATATATATATATATATATATATATATATATATATATATATATATATATATATATATATATATATACATATATATATATATATATATATATATATATATATATATATATATATATATATATATATATATATATATATATATATATATATATATATATATATATATATATATATATATATATATATATATATACATACACACACACACACACAGAGGCAATTTTACGGGTGTGTGTGTGTGTGTGGGGGGTGTTATATATATATATATATATTATTATTATTATTATTATTATTATTATTATTATTATATATATTCACACATATATATATATATATATATATATATATATATATATATATATATATATATATATATATATATATATATATATATATATATATAATTTAAATGAAAAATATACTTTTTTTTTTTTTTGGAACTTCAAGTTATTGGCTATCTGGGAATTATTCAATGCAAATTTTGCGTTGCAACGAGATCCAACGTCAGTTTTTACATATCACCTTGTTTGTTTTGAATAACACTCTAGATTTGGCTTATTCCAAGAATCGCAATTACTTTAGTTAATTAAATAATCTCTATATAATAATGCTAAAAATTTAATAGTAGTTTTAGTTATGTCCACTCGTGCGTTTTGTCACGGAGCTGAAGACATACGTTAAAGAAAAAAAAATAAGGCGAAAATAATATAAGCGGGTGCTATATTGGATGACAGGTATAATTTATGAAAAAGATATATACTTTATTATTTTTGTATATTTTTTTATTTTTTATAATAATGTCCGCATAATTTTTCTAGAAAATTAAGAACCATAAATAAAAAAATCATATTCACTTTTATTGTTAAAATTTTTCTAGAAAATAGAATTTATAAATAAGCAAAGAACCTCAACTATGGTATGTTAACAAAAATGATATATATGTATTTTAAAATATCAATTTTTCAATAAAATTGATATTTTTATATATCAGGGATTATCTTTTTCCGGATATTTCAGGAATTCCGGATATTTTTCTCAAATTTTAGTTTTTCCGGATTTCCAAAAGGTTTTCAATACATACAAGTTTAGGTATATATTTTTGTAGTTTTTAAACTTTTTCACTCAGCACTTCTAACAAAATGAGAGAAGTTAGAAACAGCTAAAAGCAAAACTAGTAAGAAAATATATTCCGGATTTTTTACGAATATTTTACCCAAACAATTTTCCGGATTTTTAAAATATGGTCTGGATGATCTATGATATATATATATATATATATATATATATATATATATATATATATATATATATATATATATATATATATATATATATATATATATATATATAACTGCGTATAACTTTTCAAATATAGAGTTAACGAATAGCATAAAGAAAGAAAACGACAAAAAATTTGCTCAAAAGTTGTCAATGAATTAATATTGCAAATCCTAACATCAGAGTTGTTAACAAGGCCACATGTTACAAGACCAAGGCCAAGAGTTTTAAACTCAAGGCCTATGCAAACATTTTCAAGACAAAACACTTCAATTTTTGCCTTACGTTAAGGCCAAAGCTGGAAGTAGCAAAGGCTGTGGCAATAAAACCACATTTTGTAAAAATAGATCATAATTATGCATAGAATTCAACAAAATCAATAAGAAAATATGTATTTTTTTTTTAGGGTAAAACCAAGGCCTCAATTTTCGCCCTTAAGGCCAGGCCAAAGCCAAGAACTAACAACTCTGGGTGCAATGTCTGTCCGCTTTTTCTATGTTATCTCTTTAACTCAACTTTTTCTGACTCTAATTTACTTCTGTTCAAACTCATTCTCTTTTGGTTCGTCGAAACGGGTTATGATGCTCTTTAGTGAGCTGAACTTGTCTTCGTAGGTCTTGGTATGTGGCCTCTGTATGATTAATAGCCTTCGGAGGATAAAAATAACACCAAATAAATAAAAATTAAATGCTTTAAATTCCTTTGAAATTGAAACTTTTGTATCCCAAAATAAATGCTTATGTTTAGATATCCGCTAAAAATGCTTATAAAATTCATTAAATTTTTAATTTAGGTTACAAAAGTTAATTAAATTTTTTTTCAATACTAAAATAAAGCTAGTATTTGAACCGCTGATAAATAGCGCTTCGCGCTACGGGTACTATGAAGCGTTTAAAATTTGTTAAAGTTAATTTAATAAAAAATTTATTTTCATAACTTCAAAAAGTTACCAGTATGCATAAATTTTCTATAAATATAAAACTTTTTTTGTTGGTTAATGATTGGAAAAAATTCGAATTCTAAAAAAAATAAATTTGAATTTATACAACTTTCTGAGACTTTCTTATTAGTAGTAATATGCTTGCTAAATATTACGTCACAACTTTATAATCAGCCAAAACTGATACTTAACACATTTTATGCGAGTCAAATATAAGTACCCGTTTTGTGGACTACTGTTTATCAGCTGGTCGGAGTATTGGTAGCTGTTTTTATAATTATTTCTTTTTTTAAAACAAACCACAACCAAATATTTAATTTGGAGCGAATGGCTAGCAAACATATTTTGTTTAACTAAAAGTTTAGATTTAACGCATCTTTACAATTTACATATATATATATATATATATATATATATATATATATATATATATATATATATATTACATTTATATTTTGTAATTACACTTTTAATAGTTATATTTTTTATATTAAACTTTATTTATTATATTAAAAATATCTTTACTTTTTAATACATATAATTATTCAGTACAATATATACAGGATTATTTTTCTATATATTATATTTTTACTAGTGTATAGGATTATCCATACCTTTGCTACGTCATGTAAAAATAAGTTATAGTTAAAGTTATAAATTATATTTTATTGCAAAGCGATGAGCCAATGAAAAACTGTATGTTTATGAAAGGTGTTGATTGTGTATGTCAATAATCGTTGTATTATTCAATGCTGTATTGTAAAAAGAATTACACAAAAAACGCTGTGTGATATTTCTTACCAAATCTACTCTTTTATGCGTTTTTTAATTAAGAAATAAAGTACAGAATTTTTATACATGATAGTAAGAGAATAGATATGAATAATCAAAAGTACATAATCCAAATATAAAAGAATAAATCCAAGTACATAAGCTAAGAGATTGTCCATAAATTACGCGACGCTTTATTTAAAAATTACAAGTTTTCCCTCGCAGAGCCTTCAATTTCAATATAAGTAGTCTTTATAATCAATGAAATTTGCTGCGCAAAAGAGAGAAATGATTTCCTATTTCTATTTTTTAAAATAAGTTCAGCGTTGTGTAATCTATTGAAGTTCCCTACTCAAAGAAAAGATGATCCTACAGGAAGATAGTAAAAAGGTCCAAAGAACCACTACTAGGTTTAATTTTTATTCTTCAACAAACTCTCAAGAAATTCTACAAAGGCAGTGCTGCGTTTGTGGATTGGAAGATGTTACAAACAAGTGGATTTTGCGGAGTGGTTTTTCTGAATGGAAGGATGCGTTGCTTAGTTTTAATTTCAAAAAAATTTTTACTTTTGGTTTCTTCTTTTTTATTTTTAAAAAAAAGGTATATGGTTTTCAATTAAAAAAAAGACGACATTTTTCTTGTATTTTTTTTTAACTCTTAACTTTTTTTTTTTAATGTATTTTTTAACCCGCTATGCAATACAGTTGCGCTTTATACAGTGCCCGCCTAAAATGTGTTAACTAAAGAATTCAACTGGTACCGGAATTTTGTTATGTTATATTATGTGGGCCTTAATCCGTTGTTAGATTAGAATTCCTGCTGTTATAATTGATTTAAAAATTCTTTAGTGGTAATCATTTTGTAACAGCCGAAATGAAATATCTTTAATCTTCATACCATTTATTAAACCTATTTAAATATTGTTACAATGCTGTAACTCAAATTTTTGTCGTCCTTTTAGTAATTTTTATGTTGTTTTAATTCATATAAATTATAATAATTTAGTTTATGAAAAATAGTTTGACTTTGATTTTCAAAATTAATGACTTTTATTATTTGTATATTTATAAAAATTTTTATATTTTTATTTTGAAGAAATATTTTTGTATTTAGACTTAATCATTGATTTAAAAATAAAAAATAAAAAAATGCGATTACTTATGTGGTCGTGGTTACAACGCTTGCTTTATATGCAGGAGACCCAGGTTCAAAACGAGCTCTAGACATATTTTCGCGTCACGTTAAGAAAGGAGGCCTGAACTTCCTGGTCACTTCTGCGGTGCTCTTTGACAAGAACGTTAGGTCTTCTTGGGGCACCTAAATAGCAACAACAACAACAAAAATTACAAAAACATTTGTAACTGCATTTCTTAACCTAAAATACAAATATTTATATAATTAAATTTAGAATTTGAGTAATTGAATTAGTGTTTTCATATAATCGAATGTATTCGACTGCCTGACAAAAACATAACTTAAAAGTTTATCACGCCACTATCTACTTATTTATTTTTAAAGACTTCTTTATTTCAAAAAACAATGTTTCTATTGTGTAAATGGCGATTAAGCCATGGGAGCCTCTTGAAAGCACTCAGTGTGTGTTAAGAACCCTTTGTTTTGTTACTATTTTCAACCTTTTTGACACCTTGGAGTACCCACATTTAAAATAATAATTTAATCCAACAAACCAAAATTCTAAAATTTAAAATTTAATCAAACAGATCATCTAAGAACTACCAAAATACTCCAGGTTCTTTTAATAGTGTAAGTAATTATGATTGCGATTAAGGACATGTATAAAAAAACGTTTTTTCTTTTTTTATAGAAACTTTTTTATTTATTTACAAATTTAAAAAAGTAAAACTTGATGTTGATTTTTTCTTAAA